GTTTTTTAACGCTGAAAATTATTTTCAAACTAATATCTTTACATATCTTGATGTTTTTGTCTTTAAAAATGTCAACAATTAACTTTTTTAACTATTTTAAATCAATATTTTACTAAAAACATGATTATTAAACTGAATTCCTACAGCTGCACAAAGTAGCCCCATTTGGGGGCTACTTTGTGCAAGGTATGCTTTGACTTATTATTCCTAAATATTACATACAAATAATGCCAATATTGATCAAATTCACTCGTCTGAGTCCAGTTATGAATATAATATCGATAAATTTTACTAAAGTTTGAATTAACATAGTTTTTTTACATGTCAAAGTTCAAAAACTGCGAAATCCTGCACAAAGTAGCCCCGAATGACGGTACATAAATAAAAGAAGCAACGTAGCACTATTTCGAACAAGCTAACATGGGAGGGGGAAGTTAGCAAATTTTTTATTGGACCACTGATTGTTTTCGATTTCATTTGATTGTAATATCATCAGTAATTATTAGAAAACATAAAATTTGGATAATTTAAATAAATAAAAGTACCAGTTTAAATATACGAGCACCCCTGACGTGCTACGCAATTCTTAATCTTTATAATGCGTCGTACCTATCTGCAAAGTTTGTAACCGTTGTGCTAAATCACCCTATTTAAATGTTTAATAAACGTTTTCATAAATAGTTTAATTTATTTAAATTTTTCAATACTCTAATAAGATTTCATTCGTTAATTAGGAAATAATAAATTGAAAAACAAGAATTAAAAATTAAAACCATTTTTATTACTCGAAAAATCCAAACATAATTAGTTACCGGCCATATAAACATCCAAATTTGACTGATTCATTAATTTATTTCCATTTCTAGTAACTTTGGTTTTTTATTTATGACATGAGACCGAAAGTTATTGGAAAGTAAACTTTATTTTGTAGCAATTCCAAAGCATTGAAGTCTTATAAACAAGGGTAAAAATGGTAGATAACTGACATCGCAGTGAACGTCTCTGAATCCAGCTTTCTTTACGGTTTGTGGAATGTCTCGATTGAGGTAGCATCCATTAAAATAGATAGCCCATAACGGCGTGGCAAACTGTTGAACAAGGCGCTCTACTTTGCTTTTTGGAAAAACAATGTGTTCTATGAAGAGAAACTTTCCAGTCTAAAAAAATTTCAGTAATATTACATAAAGTTGAATTATTTATGTTTGACAATAACAAATGAGTATGAATAAATATTTTGCCCATATAATTATTTTGTGCTGTTAGTAAAATGAATTAAAAAATACTCAATCAAGCAGCAAGAGCAAACGAATAGTTTCTGGTTTTACAAATACAAACTAATACCACTTATTAGAAAAAAGTTCTAAGAATATAAAAAAGTGTCCCTAAACTCACGGAAGATTTTAATTTTGCGCCATTTCTGCTATAAAATTTAGCCAGTGAACAAGGACTGACAGTCGGCTGATCGTTCGAATGCTGAACAGGAGAACAATACGTTTTTTGGGACATTGTTGTGTTATCACCTAGCCATGTTTTGATTACGAAAGTTGAAAACTTTGATTATGTAATTTTAACACCAATAGACTTTGATTAAATTCATTTCAATTCATTTATCAACTATTAATATTATTTCTTTCTTTATTTTTTTAAAGTCTAATGGTTATGCCAATGCGCTGACTACCAACCATGCTTTGAAGGCTGGAACTGAGTACCGCATCTATGAAATCCGGCTTCATTTATGCAAAATGGTTGTTGAAAATTTCCAGAAAAGAGTTTTGATTCGCTAACTAATCAGTAAGCTGAACAATACATAACCCTATACTTAATTTAAGAATCAATAAAAAAAAATCACAATATTTAATTAAAACCCTGTGTTTTTGTTTACAGTTGCTATTTGAATGGGTTTTTTGGGATACTTTGCACTATAGGATCAATATCTTATGTTTCAGTTCATTAACAAAAAATGATATAATATGAAATGCTTACAGGCTTCAGAACCCTTTTCACTTCTTTCATAACAGAATGAATACTTTTCACAGAACAGAGTACGTGAGTACAAACAACAACATCAAAAGCATCGCTGGGAACTTCCTTCATATCTTCAGCGTAGTTCACAACAACTCCATCCAAATTCACCTGAGGATAGTTCTTTCTGTTTTTGTTGAAATGTTGAATGAAGTAAGGATTCATGTCTAAGGCAGTGAGGGTAGAATTTTCTGGATAAAATTGTAGATTCGCTCCCTCTCCGATTCCTATTTCCAACACTTTAAGGGGGACAACTTTTCGTTGATTCGGTAAGCTTTCTTCCAAAAGTTTGAAGAGCTTCTTTCGCATTCGAGAAAACTCTGGCGAATTCATTGGATTTTCACATTTTGTAAAAATAAATGTAAACCATTTATCTCTCAGAGTTTTGCTTAAGATAAGTAAAATGACAAACGGCAAAAAAATTGTAAGCGATAAAATCCACCACAGGCTTATTATGGCTATGCATACAATAACTTCCATAGTTTGAAAAGATTCTTCTAAAAAGGAAAAAGAATACATTTTAAGCATTGGTAACCGGAAAAAATCTTAATACTGCAATATATGATATTTAAATAAAAGAATTTACAAATATTATGTGTCTATATGACATTCGCATTTTGTTTTTCTGTACTAATCTAAATACAATAGCCTTTCCTATCTTGCTGGTAGGACTAAAAACGAATATCATTGTAAAATTGAGAAAACAATGTAATCAAGAAATCAATGTAAAAAAGTTCTAAATTTGATATTACCTAGGGAAGCAAAAAATATAGAAGATATCCCCATTGCAAAAATCAAGCTCCAGTTTTGACGGATTGTCAAATCTTGAAATTAAAATTGTAATTATAGATTTTACTTTTATTTAGTTTTTAACGAAACTTATTCAAGTAATTCAGCATAGTCATATATGGGTGATATACATTGAACTCTAAAAGCAAACTAGTTTTCTGTGTGTAATTTGTAAATAAAAGAACATGCAAACAAGAAATTTGGGAGAAATATGCACTCTAAAATGCTCAAGAGTTAACATAGAAATTTACATACATTCGAATAGAAACTTGAAAAACAGCACTCAGATCTATGTGGTAGCGTGCTATTGTCCATTAATATGAAATGAGAACCATCTGAATTTCTTGAAAGGGAAAATGGAGTTCCATGAGGAACACATACCATTAACAGCGTCCCTTCCGAAGATCAGGGGCGGGGGTTGTGCTGCCATCTAACATTATGCTTTTCGCTTCCATTTTTATTTATTTGTAGGACATTAGAGAAAAGACGTAACGAACTTAAACTGTGCAGTGGAGGAAAAATAAGAAAGATATCACTGTGTTCGAACTACTAAGCTGCGCAGTGGGGAAAATACGAAAAATGTCATCACGTTCGGATTACTAAGGAATCAGTTTTTTTTGTTTATGACAAGTCGTGCTGAACCCTTTTCTCTTCTACCATTGTAATAAGAATTTAAGTAGTTAGATTATGCTTAATAAAGTATTTGCATAGTGTAAATACATATTTTGATTTCTAAGTCCTCGTGTTTTGTTCTTTTATACACATTTATGAAGTAATTAAAACATATAAACTTGCTTATTCTAAGTGAAAGCGACCAATGACTGTTACCACCAAACCTCATATTTTTAGGAAAATTTTTTGCAGAGAACAGACTTCATAAAAAACGACTAAAATAAATTATTTGAACATTTTCCAAAACTACGATTAGGAGGTCATTCAAAATTGGTCTCAATTTATGAAAATAGCGTAGCTACAAATGGTAGTTAGTATGTAAAATATGTTTAGATCTTTTTTTATTATTTTTGAATCAATTTTCTTTATTTTGATGTCAGTATAAATAAAAAGTCGACACTATATGATTACGCTATTAAAATGCTATAAATATCATACTTTTCAACATGTAAAAAGAAAAACCTCTTGATTCCTTTTCATATTAAAAAAATGTGACATTCAAAATTACGAGAAAAAAAGATTTGAGATCGAGAAACTTTGCTTTTGTGCTATAAAAAATCTTGGAGGCATTTTGACTTAAAATCACTTTTTATTCTTTTAAGGACAAAAGAACAAAAAAAAACACCCTCCTGATTTTTGTTATATCGAAAAGTATAATATTTAACATTACGACAAAAAAAATGAAGGTTGCGAAAGATGTTACTTTCCAGTAAAAAATTCTTGAAATTTACAAAAAAAAGGACAAAAGATTATGACAAAAAATTAATTTTGTGAAAGTTGTTACTTTCCTGAAAAAGAAAAAAGTATTGTATAGTATTGACCTTTTTTTCTTATGACATTAAAATTAATAAAATTAGCTCATAAATAAAAAATCGATTGACATTTTCAGCATACGATCCACTCCATCTATAGTTCAGCGACATTTCTTAAAATTAGTCAAATTTTAAAATCATGAAGGACTTTTTGGTGGGACTAACCAGCATTTGCGTTAAATGGAGAGGGAAACCACGAAAACCTCCCACGGTTAGCCTGACGTCAAGGGAACTCAAACCTATGATACGTCTACCACTGAGGGTATTTTACGTCAACATTGTGGTGGTGCGAGCCGGATGCGGAATTTGTATTGAGCAGCCATCTCTGAGATTCGAACCCGGTTCACCTCTATTGGGTGGCGAGTGCTCTATTCCCTGACCCACCACTGCTCCAAAATGATGCAAAAGTAAATTTAAAAAAGCTTTTCAGAACTACTTATTAATGTCTCGTTTGCATTTAGAGATGTAGCAAATAGTGATTTGGCCGAATACCGAATATTCGAAGTTGAAAATACGAAATTGAAAGAAAAAAAAATCCTACTTATTCTTAAAACAAAACTTTAATGTCGAAAATAATATTTTCCGGTGAAAAAAAATTCATTATAACGTTAAAAGAAATATAGCCTATCAAAATACCGCACTAACATAAAAACAAAAGATTATATACCAAAGCGAAACAGAAAATATAAAAATGGATCTTAATTCTTGAAAGAAAATTTTCAAACTGAACATCTAAGTTTACCAATTGGTACATTTTCAAGAAAAGGTGAAGAAAGAAAAATAATAAAGTTAAATAGGGACCCTCGTAATTGTCGAGTCATATTAAAACTGTCGATTAAAACAAAAGTTTTTTGAAAACAAAAACCTAGATAGGAACCAAAAAACGCCGTTTTCAATTTTTAAACAAAAAAGGTTATGCTAAAAATTTCAATTTAATTTACCATATATTTAGAAAAAGTGACAATAAAGGAATAACGATTTTAATGGAACGCTCTTAAAAAATGCTGTGTCATTATAAAAACGCTATTAAAAAAGAGAAACAAAAGAAAACTGCTATTAGTTCTTAAAATATAATTTGACGTTGAAAATCAGTTTTCTATGTTATCTGTCTCACTGTACTTGAAAAAAAGTGACAATAAAAGAATAAAGTCTATCAAAAACATTCCGTTAAGATAATATAATAAAAACAGAAAAACAGCTGAAAAGAAACAAACAAAAAAGTCAATTCTTGAAACAAAAAGTGTTGAAAAACAGCAAAATCGACTTGCCTGCATATAATTTTTTAAAATATCAGAAGTACTAAACTCGCGGTTCAGTAAATAGTTTCAAATTTCGCTTTTATTCTCTTCCAAACTAGGAATTTGCAAGCCATGTGCAAGTTTTAGAACTTGACATGCGTGAAAACTATTTATAATTTTGTAAGGTAAAAATAAAATTATTCCTTAAAAAAATAGATTATTCATTATTAAAGTAAAAAATAGATTATTCATTTTTAAATCCGGACAAATTCCAAAAAAAAAAAAAAGAAAAAGAAATACTTTTTTAAAATAAAAAATACTTTGCCGAATATTTAGTCAAACATTCGACCAACTGAATATTCGGCGAAAGGGCTGAATACCGATTAATTACCCAATATTCGTTACACCACTATTTGCGTTTAAAGCTTAAAATACATTTAAAACTATTGAAGGGGGAAAAAACAAGGCGAATATTGTTTGATTGTGTTAAATTTCTGAATCAAAAATAATAGCACTATTTAAAATATAGAAGGAAAAATATTGACTTTTACTTACAAAAATCCTTCGTAAAAAGTACACAATGACTCTTGCTGATCACAATCGTTTTTTTTTTCTTTCTTTTCCAAACATATACTCCATATGATAAGAAACTGATAAGTAAAAGATTTTTTTATAACAGAGTTTACTTCATAAGTTTATTTTATTAAATGAGATACATTTGAAAAGAAGTAATAAAACTAATATTTCAATTATTACAATAAATCATTTGTTGCACAGATATATTTGAATGGCTAAATGCTAAAGAGATATTTTAGTAAATTAACTTTTAAGTTTTACTAACTCTTTTTTTTGCAACTTCTCCAAATCTTTGTGTTTGTTAAAATATAACACTTTTAAATTTATTTGTTTAGTAAGTCGTATTTTAAAATTTTTATTGGCTAATTTTGTTTAAATTTCATGTTTTCTCATTTAAAATTGCATAGATTAAATAGGCGTAAAAATTTGTTAACCATGCACAAGAAAATACTATCTACCATTATTAAATAAAATTTTTTAAATGGAATACTTTTTTTTTTAGATAAAAGAATTTTATAATTGTGTGCAAAAGCTATCGATTTGCTCTTCAGTCTAAATTATTGCTACCATATTTTCCAGATTTCGGTTCCTTCACCCTTATTTTGAGAATAAAATACGTCGAAAAAATGTTTTTATTATTGGAAAGTAAGATTTTATATAATATTTTGTAACTTAAAATATTGTACACATTAATGTAGAGCCATTATATTCAAGATTAGGCCTTCGAACTATTGAGATCTAGTACGTGAAAATCCTATCATTAGATCAAAAGATATTCTGAGTGTTCGTTTTTTATTGCATACTCTACAGAATTTGTATTAATTACTTAAATTTAAATGCGTAATAATATGTAAAATTTTACCAGGGCTGACGGTGTGACACGTTGTAAGAGTGGGCCGCATTATATTAATTTATGCTGTACAGCTAAATATTCATTGTTTTCGATGTTTTTCAAAATGTTAATGTTCTTTAAAATGTTTAAAAAATATTAAAAAATTTTATTAAAAGATTAATTACCCCTTTATTTTGTACTATGACGAAAACTGTTTTGTACGAGACTGTTTTATCTGTTAAAGATGACTTATATTTTAAATGCATTTATATTATTAGCAATTGGAACAAATACGTTTATTTTCCTCAAATAAAAAAATTTTGTTCACGATAAAAAAAATAAAAAAATTTAGTTAAAAGTAAATTATTAACTTAATTATTTCCTTGAGCCCAATTCTGAACGTTCTCTGAGTAAAAGACCTGAACAATTAAAAAAGAAAGTTTAGTAGAAAATATAAATTTTAAAATTGAATTGATCATGTGGGCCAAATGATTGTGTCGGTAAAATGAGATGTCGACAAAACAATCTTACTATGTCAACAAAGCAACAAACGATACTATGACGTCGGACAAATGATCGTTCATTAATATGATTGTTTCGATGAAATGAGCTGTCGATGAAATGATCGTATCAGCTAAGTGATAACTTGTCTGAGAAGATGACCGATGACCCGAGGAGATGACCGATCCACAATGCAGACAGCATTATAATTATCATACCGTTGATTTTGACATTGTGAAGATTTCGTTCAACATTTAGCTGTTACGGGAATATTATTAATTTTAGTGTGCACAGTACCAAATGTAAATACATAAAAATAATTTTGTTTATATTGATGAAAAAATTTTTGTGGAATTATCCTATTGTTTAGAATGATTATAATGCGAACGTTTTTTGTTGGAATCGCTTTCCTCACACAAACTGTTGTTGGTGTTGTCGTCGCAGGCAATTAATTAATAATTGTTCTTGTTCTAATAATTGTTTTCCAGTGGCGCCCTCTATTGCCAAGAATTCGACTTCTGCCGCACCATACGTCACACCCATTTAAATGGCGGACCCATTCGTGCATGCATTCATTCATCCACGTATCGTAATTTTGACCTGAATCAGCAGAGAACGATCAATCTTCAATATAGTACCCCCAGAGGTATAATTTGTTATGGAAATATGGAGGACATTGGAACCCGACAGATGTAAAGTGTACCAGTCACCATTTAGGCACTACACGGGAAGTTTTCGGCAGGCTGTATTCGAGCTCCCGTTCTCACAAATACATAAACTATTTCTATATTGTTTTAAACCCTTGTATCGTTATTGTCCTCAGTAATGATTGGAAAGAATTCGAAAATGTTTTATCGCACTTAAATTTTTATTTACTAATGCGCCTAATTTCTTGATTCCCAGTTTTTAAACGATTCTAAAGAAAATATTTTAAGAGAGGTCGTTACGGAAGACCCAATACTTAAAATAAGGTGTTCTTAGTAAAAGTACTCAACATTTTAATAAAATTTATTACGAAAAGTTTGCACATATTTACAAATTGAAGAAAAAAAATCAACACAACAATATACAATTTTACTTTGTTCAGTTGTAATCCTAACGAGTTTCTTCGGGAAATTGAAGCCTTGCATACCGAAGCAGCAAATTAGTTGCATCATTTCCAAAATTTCTGCAGCTGACTTAATAAACTAATTCCTTGTTTTCATTTTGTGGCGATTCCAGAAATGTGCGGTCGGAAAAACAGTGGCAAAGTAGGCGAGTATGTAACTTCACAATGCACGTCTGTAAATCCAGCTTTGTTTATGAAATCGGCAGTGTTTCGATCCAGGCAGCATCCGTTAAAATATATTTTCCATAGTGGTGCAGCAAACAATTGAACTAGATAACTTGCTTTTGTTTTCGGAAAACGAACATGCTCCATGAAAATAAACTTGCCTCCCTGTTAAAAAAAATAATAATAACTATGACAGTAAAAATAATGCTTATATTTAACAGTATCTTATTATTAATAACAGACAGAAAGATTATTTTACAAGGAATGATAATACTGATAACTCCCATCCAGGGGTCCCCATCAGGGGGGAAGGTGGGAGCACGATGCGCCCACTTAAAGCTTGGGGGGGGGATTTTTACACTAAATGAAACGAATAGTTTGGGGGGAATTTAGAATTTGCCCAAGAATGCCCCCAAGAGCTTGGGGGGGATGGGGCCACTGCTCCCATCGCTTCAAAAATATGCTATTTGGAAGTAACAGTCGACATGTTTTAAGCGCTCAAAAACAAACGCCTATTTTCAAGACTTTCCAAACGTGACCGAGAAGCAAAAATGATTTGAAATATTAAACGTAACGTTGCCAAAGGAAAATGGAAAAATAAAGGTGAGCACTAAGAAGCAAAATGAATGGTGAAATGTTACTAAATCGCTTAAGAGAGCGTAAAAAGTCACCTTACTATAATTGACATCAATGATGCTTAATTTTGATTAATAGGTACCAAGTATACTCTTATTCTATGTACAATGTATTCTATGATTAAATTTGGAGATTATAGCTGCCCCAATACTATACGTTTTCTTGCTAGATGCTTCACGTTATACAAGTACAAGAGAAAGTAACTTGATGATACTGAATTTAATTAATCTTTGTTGTTGTTGTCTTGTCCAAGGAGTGCAGAGGAATCAAATAGCCAAGAAGGCGTTCAAAGCAGTCCTGGCAATGTCAAAGAGCCTTGGCGAATAGAGCAAGTGATAGACTGTGATGTTTGGTTCTATGTTGTAGAGTTTAGCCAGTGTTGAAGGACAATGGAATACCTGCAAGTGACGTAACGTGTGTATCTCGATCCTGATTGGGTGTTGAAACGTGGCATTGTTTACGTTAGCAACTTTACTTTCCGTTCTATTTCGAGTAAGCTAAACCCGTCAAGTATCAATTCTCGTCAAGTATTAATACTTCTATTATCTTTCTATATTCTTTCACTATATATTTTTAATTAACACAAAAGCAGGCACGAAGCCATATAGTACATACACAATCTAATTATGTATCGAAGTTGCCAGGTACACAAAACAAAAATATATCACGGTTAGAATTAAAAATATAAACAAATAATAAAATCTAAGTTAAGTAGAAGACGTACACAAAAAGAATCATATATCAACATATTCGATGCAATCTCTCGATGTCAAACCAATCAGAAAAAAATACCATGTTTGAAAAGAAATCGCCTGAATTATCTATTCCTAAAGAAATGGAAACGTATGATGCGTGAATAGATAAGAATATCTGTTCGTGAAAGAGGTATACTAGCAAAATCTAGTACACCAGCAGAATCTAGTATACTAGCAAAAGAACAAGCATACTAGCAAAATCAGGGTTCATTTAAGCATTTTTTGAAGCGGTATCGCAATACATTTAGTGATGAAAGAATTCAACATAACCATATTTGTGTGACTTTATTGCAATCAAACGATCACTGAATGGTAAATATTGAATATTTACACCGAAGAGTCATTGCGTTATGACCACCCTCCATCTATAACAATGGGCTCGCCCAGGTTTTCATGGTTTCTCGCCCAGGAACATTGTTTTCATGGGGCACATTAGGACCCATAATCCTCATAGAACAATCCCTGACGTCTGTAAGGTACTTGAACATAGTTGCAGACCAGGTTCACCCATTCATGGCAACAGTTTTTCCTCCGAGGGATGGTGTTTACCAACAGGATAATGCACCATGTCATAAGGGTCGAAGCGTCATGGATTGGTTCGAGGAACATTCCAGTCACTTTCATGTCATGTCTTGGCCCCCAAATTCACCTGACCTTAATTCAATAGAGCATTTGTGGTCCTACTTGGAAAACCAAATTCGTGCTGCCACGCTACCCCCTCGCAATGTGGGGGAATTGCAGGACCAGTTGGTGAGCGCTTGGTACCAAATACCTCAGACTACCTATCAGCATGTTGTGGAATCAATGCCACGGCAGGTGCTAGCAGTTTTGAGGGCTAAAGGTGGTCCTACTTGTTATTGGCAGAGTGGTCATAATGTAATGGCTCTTCGGTGTATACTCCTATGAAAGTTTTAGTACTCAAATGAGTGATTCTGAAGGCGTCGGTAGTAATAACATTATATTTAAAATATCGGAGATCGAAAAACTATGTGGAAATTGCCAGACTCGAAGTAAGACAACTAGTAACAACAGCCAAGAAAACTATTAAAACAACGAGAAATGACGTTGATTTTCAAGAGCATAGTCTCGAATTGAGTGCGTCAAAAAGTGATTAATCAATTTTGCATTTCCCGTTGTAATAAAATCTAGTGAAAAAAAATCATTATTTGAAAAATCATGTGAGAAAGACCACTGAAACGAATAATAACTACCGAGAACATGGTCGGAAGATGATGTGAATTAACTAATCGTTAATAAGACGCGTTAAAAAGTGATTCCTCACATTCAGCCGAAAAATCTAAGAACAACTTCCAAAAAACTATCGAAAAATGAAGTAGATTTAGCACGCTGAAATATTATTACTCGAATTTGAAATTCACGTGTCGTAATAACAACGTATTAAAAATATCGTTATTCGAAAAATCACGCGAAAAAATGATTGAAACTATGGACCATCAAAGGTTACTAGCAATCTTTGCTACTTCTTTTGTTCTTGTAACTAGCATTTGTTTTTTTTAAGCTAGCAATTAATCCTTAAAATTTCGGGCCATTTTTTCCTGTTCCAAAAATTATGCTTCTATTTTAAAAATTATGCAAATTTATACCTGAAAGTTTATTTTAAGAATCGGAGCTTATCGACTATCTCTTTCCCTTTTTGAACAAAACCTGCCAATTTGTACATTTGAAAAGCTATTTAGCGAAGAGTTGCACCAATGGTATCATAAGTACGAATTTGTACTAATGATACCACATGTAGTGCTAAGTGCCCTAACGACTGGGCATATTTAAATAGTGTTACTTTGCATGTGAAAGAGAACTTTACCAATAAATGCCTCTGAGAGATGATTTTCATAATGAGCGGAAAGCAATTACGTAATAATATAAAAATATGTAAATACGTGTTAAATGCGCAAAAAAAGAAGAAAAAAATAGATCACACTGAATGACTTTTGATCTAATAATCGAATCCTGAGGCAATTGAATAGGACTTAATATTTCGAGAAGGTGACATCTGATACGCTAATTAATTAGTACAGATGATATTTTAAGTTACGAAATCAAACACAAAAACATACTTTCTCTGAATAAACATATCTTTTCTTCGACGGAATCCGACTTCTGACCCCAAAATTATAGAGGATAGCCGCTAACTGGGAAATATGGTTCCAATAGTTCGGTCTTGGCCAAAGAATACCTCGCCAAGGTTCGGTCAGGAGAGCGGTCTAAAACTTCAACCCCTTAATGCTAGTTTTCTTTTTTTTTTTTGTATTTTCTCATATCTTGTAGCTAACTTAAACGAAATAAAAAAAATTCTGCACACAATTATAAAATTCGTTTCTCCAAAGAAAATTTCATGCAAGAAATAACTTTTAGTAAGTATTATATATTTTTTATTATTTCATTTAATGACTGTCATATTTGAGGTTCCATTAAGATAGAGTTCTAGAATGCGAAAGTGATCCGATTATTAGATCAAAAGTTATTTACGTTAGTTCATTCATTTTCTGCACAATGTACCTCGTGAATTCCGTGTCACTTGAATAGCATAAAAATATCATAAATTTAAATTAAACGATAATTTAAATATTAAATTGAATAACTGAAAAACATTTGAATTAATCTCAGATTACACACATTAGATCATGATTTGAATTAATCTCACATTATTACACATTGTTATAATAGAAACAAAAAATTATAGTCTCTATATTTTAAATAAACTTGACTTTGATTTACATAACTTTGATGCACTCTTTGTTTAATTATGTTCTAGCTCTTTTCGAACGAAATATTCCAATATCATATGCAACATCTATAGATAATTCTATTTTCTATTCATAGTGTCAAGGTCACTGTCCCTTTATCTTTTGCAGTTTATCTAGCAAGAGTAGATTTTTCACTTCAACATTTACTTATCCTTAAAAAAATTATCTTGTCATCGTGATTAAGTCCTGTTACTAACAACTGATTCTAGGGTTATATCAGAATGGTGTAATTAATAATAGAAGAAAATTGTACTCGGAATATTGTCTATTTTATAGCCTGCGAACTCATGTTTTTCGTTCTTGAACATGTAATATTTAAACTTGTGCCACTACTGCACGGATTGCCGGAAATTCACTCAACTAATAATTTTTTTATGACATTAATATTTCGCTCTTAAAATAAAAGTTATGAAAATATCATGTACGTTATGAATGAAAATTATGAAAACATCATGAAGTAGATAGTGACTATTGTTAAACTATAAAACATTAAATAGTTGGCGTAATAATCCAATGATTATAGTCAAATTTATATAATCATTGAATAAATCTCTAAAGCCTTAAAAAGGCTAATTATTTTGAAAAGACTGTGTGGCGAATTTTGGGGCTTAAACCCAAAAACCCTCCTCAATACATATGCCTCCCTAGTTATTTAAATTCTAGAATACGTCGCTCTCACTTAGGCACCAGCTTCTTTTCCCGCAAACGATAGAATAGATAATGTCTAACACAGAGCTTCCAAAGTCATTATTCGAACTGTTTCATCTACAGACAACGTTCAACCAGAAACTGAGTGTGGCCTAATCCCCTTAGACAATAGAAGCAAATTAGCCATCATAAGATTCATAGACAAAATTTGAAACCTAGCAGATTGTCTCATCTTCAGCAACACTTTCAAAGCAGAGAGAGGTAGACTGAAACGGTCCTCAATTCTACAGTATGACCATGAAATAAGGAAGGAAATTGATTTTCAGCATAATGATACAGATATCATAAAGGAACACCCTTCTACCTATCTGTCCTTCTTCATAAGCAATAATAAATCTAAACCTTTTACAACCTTATGATAAAAAGGAGTCAGCTGCACTGCTGAAGCAGAAAGGCATCCACGACATCGAGAATCTTTCAAATTCGGACAAAAACTAAGTAATTGCTTACACTAATGAATCCTCGGACCTTGATAAAGGCGGTGCTGGAATCTATTTCATTCACCCAAATGAACATGAATCAACATAGTATTCCAACAGGAAAAATTTCCTCAAGCTATACGTGCGAGCTTATAGCCATTAGAAGAGCTTTAGATATCTATCACAGCTGAGCAATTGAGAGTTTCTGTAGCATTCCACTGTTCACGGACTCTTAGATCTGCGCTCCTGGTGACCCTGAAGGGCAACTCTCAGATGACCTAAGAAATAATTACCCTTGTAAACTGAATAGTTGTCGCTTAAACTTTGCAATGGATATCGCCCCAGGTAGACATCTTCGAGAATAAGCAGGCTGATGCATAACCTAGCCAAAGAAACCAGAAACTCTCGACTGGCCTAAGTATTACTGATGCTTATGCAACAGTCAAACGTAAAATTACCTCCCAACCACCTATGAAGAATTTTTTCCCAGAGCTGAATTGCAACCGGGTAATTTCCACTACGTTAGCAAGACTACGTACAGGGCACTTTAAAGGTATTAAAATATCCCCTGATTTCCAAAGAAGTTATAATACTTGTCCTCACTGTCCTGAAATATAACTTATCCGTGTCAAATTTTTAATTGTTCTTCTACACGGGCTAAACTCTACAACATAGACCTAAACCCCACAGACGATCAACTGCTCTATTCACCAAAGGTCTTTGACATTGCCAAGACTGTTTTGGACGCCTTCGGTGCTATTTGATTCCTCTGCACTGCTTGGACAAGACAACAACATTGAATGACAAATTGTATTATAATCATTGGGTTTCAATGAATAGCGGTATCAAACTGAATTAAAAACTGGATTGTAAATCATCAATGGATTACAATATATAACGGAATAAAACTGGATTGTGTATCGGATTATAAACATTAAATTACCATGCACAACGGAATGAAAGTAAACAATGAATTGGATTATAGTGCATAACGGAATTAAACTGAATTAAGAATGATTCATAATTATTGAACTAGAACGTACAGCGATTTTAAACTAAATTAAGAATTGGAACATGATACAACTGAATACAACTGAATTATTCATTAGACTACAATCATTAAGCTAGAATAGAAAATTAACAACGAACTAAATTAAAATCAACCAGATGAACTTCAAATAATGAACAGAAACTTTAACAGCTAACAACTCACAGCTGGGGAGACATTGTTAGTATAGGGAAAATCTCTTGTACATTTGCTTCTTAGTGACGTAAGAGTGATTACTACATTGGTTATATCAAACAAAAACATGATTTATCACCGAGTATTAAAGTTAAAAGTATATGGCTCTTTTAACAAAACGAAATAATAAGCAGCATCTTTTTTTTTTATAGAAACGAAGAGACCCATTTTTGTATGGTGATTTTTATTAACTATTAGCGATTGGACTCAGTGGCTATCGGGCATCCAAAAACCATCAGTCCTAACGCCAAGAATTTTAAGTTACCAGAGAATGCATGATACTAACGGACACTTAGGAGCATGAGAAGAGATCCAAAGTTGCCGAGTTATAGATTGATAATATAGCCAAAAAACAAGGGATTAATATTAAATTGTAAATAATCTGGTTACAGCTTAATCACCAAAAAGACCATGAGAATTTAATGTAACCGAAACATTTTTGTGGTTACAGAAATAAAGCGGCTTAAAGAAAATAGATTTTAAAAATAAAATTTGTTATTCGATTTAGTCGCGAGCTAGTCATTGTATTGATTGTTAAGAAAAGAATAAAAGTATTTATATTCGCTTTTTATAACATGAGATTAAATTTAAGTAATTGGTTTCATTAAATTATAATTGGATTAAAAATTATTTAAAAATTAAATGTATGATATCAAAGAAATTTTTAAAAGCTAGGAAATATGTAATGCTAATAATGGCATCACATGTGCAACCCTTGTTTACCATACAAATCCAAATAGCCATTGCTTTTGACCAAAACTCAATAAATATTCCATAAGGTCGGCGTTTTGAGAATACCATATGTTTTAATTTATGAAAAAATAATGATTTACAAATACTTACAGGCTTAAGAACCCTTTTTACTTCTTTCATAACAGAATCCATGCTTTCCACAGAACAGAGTACGTGAGTACAAACAACAACATCGAAAGCATCGCTAGGAACGTCTTTCATATCTTCAGCGTAGTTCACAATTATTTCATCCAAATTCACCTGAGGATAGTTCTTTCTGTTTTTGTTGAAATGTTGAATAAAGGAAGGATTCATGTCCAAGGCAGTGAGATTAGAATTCTCCGGATAAAATTGCAAATTTGCACCCGCGCCGATTCCGATTTCCAACACTTTTAAAGGGGCAGACTTTTTGCTCTTCGATAAATGCTCTTCTAAAAGTTCGAAAAGTTGCTTGCGCTTAGACGCAAATCTTGGTCCAAACAGTGGTCCGCATACTTTTGAAAAGACAAACGAAAACCATTTATCCCTAAATGTCTTGCTTAGTATTAATAAAACTACAAACGGCAACAAGGCAGAAAGTGATGTCATCCACCAAATGGCTGTAAAAATCAAATACACAACTGCTTCCATTTCTTTCCTTTTTTTAAGGGAATTGGACCTAAAAATAAGAAAGAAACGTTACTAGAGGTGCATTAATATATATAATCAGAGTATTCCAAAATCACAGCAGTTACTAGAAAAAATAATTTAAATGCATATTCTTTAGGTCCCGCAGTGGACTGATCGTTAGGACACGGTTCCCAGCAGATCACAGAAGTCAAGCATCACTGGCTACGGTCAGTGTGCGGGTGGGTGACCACTTGGATCAGTCTGCGTAGGGAGCGAGGGTGTGCGGTATTGGTCCTCGTTAAACTGTGTTACCGTAAAGTGCTCGACTTCACGCGCAGGTCGTCGGGCTACCGAAGCGGGGGAGCCATCTCCTCCGCAGAGGATCAAAATTGTGATGGCATGTCTTCGGATCATCCTCCGGGATGTTTCCCAAACCGTCGCCAATAGCCCATTGTGCAGCTCTAGTGCGACGTAAATTAACAACAACAACAGCATATTCTTTAGGAATTGCAAATTGTTTAAGCGAGGAAGAAACAGAAAAGCTATCGGAATCTGTTGAAACACTGTAGTAAGTAGATGAAAGCTCAGTTCATATCGAAATCAGTAAATATACATTAAAGCCTTTAAATTACGAAACGCCCAGAACACATGATTTGAAAACAGTTGTGTATTTACCATTTATCCTACAAAAAAATTCTTACCGGAAGTCTTCAGCTCTTCCATGATGTCATGGCACGTCGTGACTATTTCTTTCTTTTTTTTGCGTCACCTGTTTATTTGTTTCAGTAAGATTTAGTTTGTAATACAGTTGAAGCGATAGAATAGAAACAATATTGATTTTTAACACTAGAAAGGCGGAAAATTAGTATATACCTATATTACCTAAAAAGCAGTCAAAATGACTAGATTGTGAATGTGTAAATAAATTTGTTTAAAATGAATTTTTAACATTTTTTATATTATTCACAGTTATGTAACAAGTTATTAGTAAATATTAACAATAAAAAATATATGTATATATATATTTGTTGTACAAAAAGTCACAAAATTCTAAGAAATTTTGTCATTATATACATCATTGTTTTTCTAACTGAAATTAAAAGCAGTCAAAATGACTTCCTTAGGCAATCTAGTGTTAATGAGAGAACGACATAGTTTGATTATCTTAAAGTTTCAATTTTCTTGTTTTAAAGAAAACCCATGCAATAGATAAAAAATGCGGTTTAAAAATTAGATAGGTTTAAGATGGTTTAAAGATAAGTGAACTTAAATTGATATTTAAGTTCACTTCAATTTTTTAAAGTCCATGAACGAATAGCTACATAGAGAGTTTCACTGCAAGTTTTTAAGTTCAAATGATTTACAATAATAAAAATAAAAATCTATCAATGCACATAACATTTGCAAGAAAACTTGGAAACGCATTTATTTTCTAAACATTAGTTAAAATTTATAAACGATGAACAGACAGAAGCAAAATAATTATTACTTATGATGTAAAAGTAAAAATGTATAAACGACGAACAGGCAACAAAAAAAGTAATTATGATTATTGATGTAAAACCCGGTCTTAAAACAATATTTAGAAACAATAAGAGTTGGAAAAACTTTTTAGTTTGCTTTTCTGGAAAACAAGTTGTGAAGACACATGGTTAAAATTTGAATTTAAGTGTAACAGTTTTCATATATATTTTCAAAAACAAGATTTAAAAAAAAAAGTGCATTTAAAGTAATAGCATTTTATTCAATGCATTATATCTAGTTAACAGTATACTGAATACATTATGAAAACATTCATAAAACAAACGCAATATAATTCACAAACTATTGCGATTTAAAATACTTATTGTAAAGCAATAGAAAAAGATTTATCGCTAAATTAAGGTTTGTTCAAATCGCAATAAAGGCACATGAATGAAAACGAATTTCGCTGTCATATTAGAGGAAAAAACTGAAGATAAGATCCAATCAAAGATAGTTTTGAAGCTCAACTTACCTTAAAATACTTGCAGAAAATTAAAAAGATTAGTTGAAGTTTTTTTAGAGCTGTATTATTAGATAAAGATGTTTTATTTCTTTACTTCTGAACAAATTAATTTAGATGAGATATGGAACATGGTTGTAAGGATGAAATAGAATATTTGACGCCAAAACAAGCGCCAACGCTGTGTTAATATCCCCAGATGTGTAAACATTCACTGCTGTAATAAAATTGTTTCATCAAAATAATGATAATAATAATCAACACAATGCCGAGGGAAAAAATATATATATTTATTTTATAATCAATCAATATGATTAGATGATGTGATGTTGGTAGAAAATAAAATTGCACGGTAACTTATTCTTAAGTTGTTAACATTTAAATCTGGAAAAATAGACGAACTATTCGGAAACGGTTTGCCAACTTTCTTACAGGAGTTATAGAGCTAGAAAATGAACAAAGTGTGGATAGTATCAGTTTCTAACAACGTTTTATCAATTGAATTTAAATCTCGAATTCGTACCTCCTTTTTTTAAAATTACGACTGTACTCTCTTAGAAATTTTTAAGCGAGTTAGGTTTTGAAATCATGGTTTAAATTTTATACAATCTTAATATCGTGCTTAATTTGAACTGCCTTGTCATACTTCTTAAAACAACACGCAACGATATTATGGTTCATTTTGAACGGAAAAACTGCCTTTATATGATCGCAGAAACTTTGCACCATATTATATGGTTGAAAATACTGATAACTTAATGCAACTAACTCACATTTGCGTTGCACGGAGAAGAAAACCACGAAAACTTCCCATGGTTAATTCGACGAAAACCCATGATTCGTCTACCACTGAGGATATTTTATGTCAGCACTGTAGTCGGGGCGACCCGGGAGCAGAATTTGTATGAACCTGCCACCCCTAGAATTCGAACCTGGGTCGCCTCAATGGAAGTCGAACCCTCGCGACTCAATGCGTCAAATATTTAAAATTCTAAAGTATTAGTTTTAAAAGAGACAGATGTATCATGCTGATTCTTAGTTGGTTATGCAAATAAAACGTTGCCTTTCGACAAGCTGTATTTTCTATGCATTATGAAACCAGTTTTATCATATTATTAGACTAGAGGGAAAATTTGAAACAACAAAATCAGTTTTACTGCCTAATGAAGATTGATTGTCTCTTTAATAATCGTCTTTCAATTTCTCCCTATTATCTCCCACAATTAAACATGTTTTGATATTTTCAATACTGCCTTTCACAGTAGCGATTTTGTTTGATTTCAATAACTCTTTGTTTTTTTCTCTCTTAAATATTAATTTGCTGCCTTCAAATGTCTTTATGTTGTTGGCTTCATTTTTGACAAGAATTCTAAAAGTATGTATTCATGGTGGTCATTACGAAACACCCTGCATTTGAAAAGGTGTTTTTAGTAATTGCGTACGGGGCCCCTAGAGTACTACTTCCGCAGGCAGCAGGTTCCCCACCGTTAGATACATTTCTAAAGAAAATCGGCGATTATTTAATAAAAAGTCAGAAATGAAATCGTGAAGGTCTAAAGTTTTGAAATTTTTAAATTGACAACATGAGAAAACTTCATGGACCAATTTTACATTAAATAGTCTAAACTATGTTCCTTTTGGACATATTTGTCGCCATCTATTGCCACAATTTTAAATAGTATAAATTGATATATTTCAGATTTCTGAAAAATTAGTCTTCATTTTTGTGTTAAATACTCAAAATGGAAGTCTTTCTTAAAAAAAAAAAAAAAAAAAAAAAGGAAAACGCTCATAATCATCAAACGTTAACTTTAAGTTCAAAAAATCAATATAAATTCAAAAGAAATGTTTTGCATGAAAGTTTTATGAAGTTAATTCTTCTATTACTGCTATAAAAAAAGCTTTTTTACAATAAAAAGCAAGGCAAACAAATAAATTATTGATTTTATTTAGGTATAATGATATACCATATTTTTCTATTCAGAGGGAAATTAAATGAATTTTTAAAGTAGTTATTTTACGAATAAGGAATAGTTTAAAAATGTAAAGACTAATAATCGATAAACTAGTAAAACACTAAAACATTCGAGGACTATAATGGGAATTTAAATTATGAAACTATTGAATAATGTTTATACCATGTTACATATTGACTTTTTAGCACATTTCATCTGTAGTAACTTAGAAGGTATTGTTCAAAAGGCTTTAGAAAAATAGCAAATATTGCAATACATTCTGTAATTAAATTCAATTTTTATTATTAGATATGAACACGTAAAGAAAGGATCGATTAAGAATGATTATGTATGTAGTTTTAAAATAAGTTTACAATACGTTTACAATGACATAAAATTAGTATAGGACAATTTTTTTTTCATTTATGCACTGCTTAAAAACTGATTTACAATCAATAAAATAAATAAATGAATATAAATGTAGCATCAAATGTTATTCTCCTTTATAAAAATTATTCAGTAAATAGACACAGCATACGATAATCGAAGAATACAGCAATCACTGGTACTTTAATAAACAGCTTTTAAAATTTTAAGCAATAAGAACTAACTAATGCTGCGTTTTTCACTTTGAAAAGTGCCCATTTCTTACTTTGAAAAGTTTTCTTGAACCATTTGTGTATTGGCTAAAAACATAGACGGAACTTATTAATAATTAAAATATACTTATGCGGGTTTTTTTTTCACTTTAAAAAGCATTCATTTCTAATATGGAAAAGCTTTCGTGGACCGTACTTACGTATTGGCTAAAAACGTAGACTGCACTTGTTACTGTGTTGAAATATACTTTTGCAACGTTCTTAACTTTAAAAAGTATTCATTTCTCATATGGAAAATCTTTCGTGGACCACTTACGGATTGGCTTAAAACGAAGATCGCACTTATTACTGATTCAAAATATACTTATGCGATGTTTTTCACTTTAAAAAGCATTCATTTTTCATCTGGAAAAGCTTTCGTGGACAACTTACGGATTGACTAAAAACGTAGAAGGTACTTGTAACTGACTCAAAATATACTTTGCGGCGACTTTCACTTTAAAAAGCATTCATTTTCACTCTGAAAAATTCACAAGGATCACTTTTGTATTGGCTACAAACTTAGGCAAATTTTAAAACTCTAATCACCTATGATTACTGACTCCAAACTAACACCTAACGATCAAGTTGTCAAACTAGTTTATAAAAATGATACATTTAAGGAAAATATTCGAAAAAGTGTCAATATTTTATTCACGACATTCTCGAACAAGTATCATTGCTCTTTCAAAAGTGCTTGAATCCAATAACCGATCGTTCAAGATATTATGGACCTTCATTTTTTTAGCGGGAATTTTCTCTTCATTATACCAAATTATTTGTTTTATCAACTTCTTTTTCAAATATCCAGTTGCAGTTGTCGTTACAAACGATGACAAAAATAGCAATCTACATCCAGCAATTACTCTTTGTAACTTGAATCCTATGAAAGAGATTTACGATGTTTGTAATAACAAAGTAAAAACTCCAGATTATTGCAATTATTCTGTTAACATAAATGGTGGGCTCGTTTCTGCTGGTGTATTTCAATTTTTAATGCCTATTAGTCAAACTTTATCCGCATCTGTCTCAAATGGCACATTCAACCCATCAATGTTAAAAATGATGGAATTCCTCAATAGCTATACTAAATTAAAAGCAGTAACACGAAAAACATATGGAGCTCAAGCGAAAGATTTCATTCAATATTGTTCTTTTAAAGGGATCGTTTGCTCAGCTGACGATTTTGAAATTACTCAAAATATACAATTTGGAAATTGCTTTACATTTAAACCTTTATTCTATGCTAAGAGTCTAACGAACAAATCTTCATTCCTTTTAGATAATAATGATTTAGAAATAATCTTAAATTTAGAAACCGGTTCTTACGTTACATACATTTCTAAGAGTATGGGAGCATTGGCTACTATTCATCATATGTTCGAAGAGCCTAGAATGGAAGAAAAAAGTATTCTCGTAAGCCCTGGCTTTGAAACAATAATAAAAATTAAATCAGCTGAAACCAAACGTCTACCAGCTCCATATGAAGATAAATGCATGGATTATCGATCAGAGAAATTGAATCCCAGAGACTGTATATTGCTTTGCATACAGGAAATTAATCATGAAATATGCGGTTGCGTTGATCCCACAGTCGATATTTTTTTGGAAGATACTTTAACTTGTGATATGACCAACATTAAACACATTCTGTGCTTAGGCAATGTCATCGACAATCTTCTAATCCATCACGAGAACTGTAACTGCAATGTGCCTTGCTTTTCTATAGATTACAACGAACAAGTATGGAGATCATCTTGGCCTTCTAGAAAATATTTTGACAGTTATCTGAGTCTTAAATTCAATCTGAGTAAAGATTTAAAATCGTTCAAAAATGATCACGCATTTTTGAAAATTCATCTAGAAACTACAAAGATAATAATAGAACAAAAGCCACTGTATGATATTTCTGAATTTTTTAGCAGCTTAGGAGGAAGTCTGGGACTTTTTTTAGGAATATCATGCATGACAGTCTTTGAAATCTTAGAAATTTTAATCGTGATATTAAACCACGAATTCATTTAATATTTAATTCATTAATCCAAAATTTCAGTATGAATGCTAGCTATATGTGTTCAAGTAGTGATAAAAATCTACTCGTTCCAATTTCCTGGAATTTTTTTTATTTTAAAAAAAATCTTTATGTAATTTGTTCTAAAACTTAATTTTCAAACTTTATAGTGACATTTAAAAAATTTTATAATTACTTTACTGATCGTCTGTCACAATAACAAACAAGTTTTATAACCGTGAGAGAAAAATAGCATGTCTTATAAGAAACAAGATAACATTTTTAAATAAGTGTATGTACACAATATATATATATATATATGGAGCAGAATTTGTATGAACCTGCCACCCCTAGAATTNATATTGTGTACATACACTTTTGGCATGTAGAACGGCTGCCTTTTTAAGTTGCGCTCTCATATCTTGTTTAGCTTGATGATCCTAAGAGAGATCAGAATAACAGTACTAAATAATCAACACTATGAAAGGGGTTTACCATAAAAAAATTGCAGAAGTGTTTGCACCATGTAAGGAGCGTCCGGCATCCTGTAAGATCAAAAAGGTAAAAACATACTTGAGGGTGCCCTTTGGCAAAATTGGAGACTTATGTTTGTCGCCATTCCTGTTTGTTTGGAACACCGTGGTAACAGGAATGGCGGCCAAAACATAATGATATTTCAATAAAGCATTGGAAAATTTCGACAAAACATGGACCAAAACTTAATAAAATTGCATTGAATCCAATAGTATAAGTAAAATTAATAAATCCAATAAAATGCATTTTGAATTGAAACAAAAATTAATTGATTAAGCAAAGAAAGAAAAGGAAGAAAACAACTCACTTCCTCATTAAGCTTGAATATCCTCAGATTTAGGGGCACGGAATTCTCTAATAGCAGTTAGATACTGTCTAAATTTATCATAAATAGAATCTGGGTACCTCCATCGCCACATAAATTCATCGAAATACAAATCGAAAATGGCGTCTGTGGTACCGGAGTGGCGGTGGACATTTTTTTCTAAAGTCCCTTTTTATGACTGCCCACATACCTTCGATTTTATTGACCAGAAGCAGAAGTAACCTTACCAGCCGGTATCCAACTTAGAACTAGCGGACCTCTGAAATTACATATACCGTTGAACATTTAAAAATAATGCTTAAATCTAAACCAATCAAAATCACGATTGGGTTTTAATATCGCCCAACTTGGCGATCAACCGCCATCACAACTTGGCGAGAATCAAGAGGCACCCTCAAATATAGTCTACCAAATCAACAATGATTTGAGTTAGACTCTGCCACGCGTGCTTCGGATACGGAGAGATTAATCTCCGGCTAATGCCCTATAGTAATGTTTTGAATAATATTGCTTCCACGCTATGTATAAGTTTATAATATTGTTTGCATTAAAATTGCTTTATATCAGTTTATAATGTTGATAATAAGCACCTCTGGCATTTTATAATCCTATCATTTTCTCTCCATGTGATGTTGGTGCAGAAAAATTCCAGTATGCAATTGCTTCTAGTATATATAGTCTACCCTTAATATTTCTGTTTAAACTCAACTTTCCTGGAGTTATTTTGAATAAGAGGAAAGTATAAGTAGTAATTGTGGTTTGATTTAAATAGATTCATTAAAGAATCTCCTAAATAAAATTTATCCACTGCTATTACAAAATAAGGAAACACGATATAGACAAACGAGCTTAGGTCGGACAATTTTGCTCGCTGACGGTCTGAACAAAACTAAGAGACAGTGGACGACTCAAATATTATATTTTTGAAGAGGAAGATCTTTAATTTTAATGACTGCGGACAAGAATTCCCATTAAACCATCATTGAAATGTATAATTGGAACCATCATGAACCTGTTGCTGATCCATGAGTATCAAACTTCTCTTGATGGTTAACCATCATAGTATTAAAGTAGCATTTTCCATCATGGAATGATAGTAGTTTGTCGGCATATCAAAAACCATGAAAACGTAATGGAAAAAGTCAGATGATGGTGACCATCAAATAATGTTGGACCATCATGAATCGCACCTAAACCAAGATAAACCATCAAAACTTTTTGACGGTACCATCAAGAATTTCGACTTGTGTATGTTAAGATGCTCAGTATTACGCCAAAACCATCTTTACATCCCAAACAAGCTGGCACCCACCGACCTGAAGCTGGGTGGGCTTCAAGCATCCCCAAAGGAACACACCCCAGTCCTTTGCAAAGACAGCTCGTTGGTTTTAACCATTGGGTCATCGCAGTCCACGATAACAACATAAATATTTCGTAACTTGCAAGGTTATTTCTCTAAGAAAGGGATAATCTTTTTATTTGAAATATTTTCAAGACTTTGAATGAATATACATTCTGTCAACCTATCTCCTTGTTTTCTTTGCATAAATTTTTTATGTACAAGGTTTTCTTAATAATACGATTTTAGAATCCCTTTCAAAATGAAGTGAAAAAAAGGAAATGATTCAAGTACTAACCTCAGATATGCTAATTAATTTGAGAAGACAGTATTTTAAATTATAAATTTAGACACAAAAACTGATTTTCTCTTAATAAACATAACTTTTTTTTGTTGACTGATTTGGATTTCTGACCCCCAAAATACAGGGAGGAGCTGCAATCTGAGAAATATGGTCCCAATAATTTGGTAAGGAGAGCTGTCCAAAGTGTGAACCCCTTTATGTGAATTTTACTTTTTGCCATATCTCGAGAAATTTTTTAAGCGAATTGAAAAATTTTTGAGCTCAATTATAAAATTCATTTATCCAAAAATAATTTCATCGAAAAGATAACTTTTAATAAATATTTATCATTATTTTATTTAATATTAGACGGAGAAATTTTGAATTTCAATGTATACAATTTCTTACATCATTTTAAAGAATATAATTTTGCATCGCAAAATAAAAAATTTGAATGAAATCGATCGAATACTTCCTGAGAAATCGAATTTTTCTTTAAAAAAATGGTATATAAAAAAATCCAATTTCTCAAGAACTATTCGACCGATTTCACTCAAACTTTCCATTTTGCCTTTTAAAATTATATTATTTTCAATGAAATAATATTAATTTTAAAAAATAGTATATTGAACTAAGTGGTAACTGGATAGTATCAGTTTCTAACAACGTTTTACCAATTGAATTTGAAACTCGAATTCGTACCTCCTTTTTTTTAAAAAAATTACGACTATACTACTACCCTCTTAGAAATTTTCAACTCATGGTTCAAATTTTATACAACCATAATATCGTGCTTAGTTTGAACTGCCTTGTCATACTTCTTAAAATTACACGCAACGAAATTATGGTTTCTTTTGAACGGAAAAATGGCTTTTTTATGATTGCAGCAAATTTGCACCATATTATGGTTGAAAATACTAATATTATGATTCAAGTACAACAGATTTTTATGACAGAGTAGATAAATGGAAACAATGTATTAACTGAGAGGGAAATTATTTCCGATAAGTCAAATAATTTATTTTACTTTATAACCGCCGTTGAACAATCGACCCAATTCCAAGTTTACGATAATCAATGTTTAACTCCGTAACCTTGTAATTTTGCATCAAACCCAGAGAACAAGGGTGTTACTGGATTATGTAATAGGACAAACTGGCTTTCGTGGAGGACTTCTTAATGCAACCAGCCCACATTTACGTTGCACGGAGAAGAAAACCACGAAAACTACCCATAGTTAATTGGACGAAAACCCATGATTCGTCTACCACTGAGGATATTTTATGTCAGCACTATAGTCGGGGATACCTGGGACCAGAATTCGTATGAACCTGCCACCCCTAGTATTCGAACCTGGGTCACCTCATTGGAAGTCGAACGCTCTGTCACTTGATCCCTAAATGCGTCTAATATTTAAACTTTTATAGTATTAGTTTTGAAATAAACTGACGTATCATGCTGATTCTTAGTTGGTTATGCAAATAAAAAGTTGCCTTTCGACAAGCTGTATTTTCTATGCATTATGAAATCAGTTTTATCATATTATTAGACTAGAGGTGAAATTTGAAATAACAAAACCAGTTTTACTGCCTAATGAAACTTGATGGTCTTTCTAATAATCGTCTTTCAATCGTCTTTCATCTCCAACAATTTGAACATGTTTTGATATTTTCAATACTGCGTTTCACAGTTGTGATTTTGTTTGATTTCAATAACTCTTTGTTTTTTTCTCTCTTAAATATTAATTTGCTGTCTTCAAATGTCTACATGTTGTTGGCTTCATTTTTGACAAGAATTCTTAGAGTATGTTCATGGTGGTGGTTACGAAACATCCTGCATTTGAAAAGACGGTTTTAGTAAATGAGTATGGAGCCCCTAGATTACTACTTCCGCAGGCAGCAGGTTCCGTTAGATACATTTCTAAAGAAAATCGGCGATTATTTAATAAAAAGTCAGAAATGATAACTAAAACCGTGAAGATTTAAAGTTTAGAAATTTTTAAATTGACAATATAAGGAAACTTAAATAACCAATTTTACATTAAATAGTCCAAACTATGTCCCTTTTGAACATATTTTTCGCCATCTATTGCGGCAATTTTAAATGGTATCAATTGATTTATTGCAAATTTCTAAAAAAATTAGTCTTTATTTTTCTGTTAAATTCTCAAAATGATAGTCGTTCTTTAAAAAATAAAAGAAGCTCATAATTATCCAACGTTAAGTTCAAAAAATCAATATAAATTCAAAAGAAATGTTTTGCATAAAATTTTATGAAAGCGGTAAAGTTAATTCTTCGATTTTTGCTAAAAAGAAAGCTTTTCTGCAACTATAAGCAAGACAAACAAATAAATAATTGATTTTATTTAGTAATAATGATAAACCATATTTTTCTATTTAGAGGGAAATTAAATGAATTTTTGAAGCTGTTATTTTACGAATAAGGAATAGTATAAAAATTTAAAAACTAATAATCAACAAACAAGTAAAACACTAAGAAATTCGTAGACTGTATTGAGAATTTTAATTATGAA